CTATGCTCATAGCAGGCTCCTGTCAGAGGGAGCAGGTCTGGCAGCTTCCAAAAGAGGGTTCCAATGGAACTGGCGAGTGTGCTGGGAGCTTCACATGGGTTATTCTTTCAGTCCTTGAAGGGGATGAGCTCCCAGCATTCCCATGCTGTTATTCTCCATTACAGCATGCTGTTTTCTGTGATTATTGTGTTTGCATATTTATTTGCTTTCTTTATCATCTCTTCCCCATTGGACGTCAAGCTCCATGAAGGTCAAAGTCTTGACTGTCTTTTTTTCCACATCTTTAGCATAATGTCATGCAGGTAGTAGATGTATAGTATAATAAAACTGTTGAAGACAGACATCATGGCTTTTATTTAGTAAAAAAGGAAACCGAAGTTTAGAAATGTTGAGTCACTTGCTCAAGGTTACACAGCTAGTAAATCTTAGAAACCAAATTCCAACCTGGGTTCAACTGACTTTGAGAACTGTGAGGTTTTTCTAGAGCATGAGGCAGCCTGTGGTAGGAGAGATCATTTAAGTTGTGCACAAGCATGTTTAAATAATATTAAATTATATGCCAGGTGTGGTGGCTCAAGCCTGTAATCTCAGTACTTTGGGAGGCCAAGGCAAGAGGATTGCTTGAGTTCAAGGGTTTGAGACCAGCCTGAGTAACTCGGCAAGACCTCGTCTCTACAATAAATAAAAAAACTAGCTGGGCGTGGTAGCACATGCCTGTAGTTCCAGCTACTTGGAAGGCTGAGGCAAAAGGATCGCCTAAGCCCAGCAGTTTGAGGTTGCGGTGGCTGTGAGTGTGCCACTGCACTCCAGCCTGGGTGACAAAGTGAGACTCCAACTTAAAAAAAAAAGAAAAAATTATTAAATTATAATGCAAAATTCATTTCCTTTCCATCTGTCTTGCATATTTGATTATTTCAAGAAAATAACTTTTCCAAAAAAGAGCAGATCTTAAGTTCAGAGTCAGACCATCAGGATGAGTTTTGGCTATGAGAGACAGAAAGCTTAAAAAAGAAAAGTGTAACAAGGTAATGTGTTTTGTGTCTCATGTACCTGAAACCAAATCAGGCAGCCTAGGTTGGAAAGGCAGTTCCAGGATTGTCAGAAATCCAGACTCCTTTTACTCTGTTTCTTTGGCACCCTTATCATGTAGAGTCTATTCTATAGCCCAAGATAAATGCTGCTGCTCCAACCATCATATCCACCATCTAGCCAACCAAAAGAAGAGAAAATTCCTGCTTCGTTCATTCAAAATCCCTTCCTGGAACAATTTGTAGTCCTTTAGCCACTGGGAGAATTGAAAGAGGAAGAAAGCGAGGGAGGGGAAAAAGTTTTTTGTTCTTATCACTGTGTTAGGAACCTGGCTTTTCCAAGGCTTATGGGTCCATTGCACTTGGCAGAACCTCCAAGCTGAAAGCTTTGATCAGAAGATGAAGTGCTTGGTTGTTGCCAAGGCTGCAAGACGGTACTTGCCCTATGGTTCTGGGTCCAAAATTGATGATGACAAGGAGTTACTCTGTACTGGGCCTTGTGGGAGAGGGGCAATTTCCTTTTCCCCCAAGGAGTATGTGTGGGGAAGAGGGACTGCTCCTTCATAGTGCCACCAAGCCCAATGATGGGAGAAGATTACAAAGGAAACTCTTGTAGGGCTTGAGGGTGTCTGCAGGAGGTAGAGTCTGGTACTCCATCCCGATCAGATAGTGCTCAGTTCCAGATGTGGTGGTCTCTGGATGGGCCTCACTGAGAAGGAGGCTGGAGAGAAACAGTAAGAGCAGAGGGCAGGCTGGGGCAAGCACCTGTCCACCATGTGCGGCCCTTAAACCCGTGTGTGTGAGTCTCCCAGGAATCCAGGGTATATGGTGGGAGGTGGCTGCCTCCAGGTAAAAGGATGCCCCAACAGCAAGAGGCTGTGGGTGCAACTGCCCGCAGGGGGGAGCTCAGGTGGGTGGTGGAGTGGAGGCAGGTCACTCATGTCAGGGAACTGGGCAGGGAGAGGCCTCTTTGGGTCCAGGTGAACTTAAGCCTGCACCTCACAAGGCCATAGCATCTGGACGCTGCCCCCAGGAAGAGTGAGCCGGATAAGCAGTACCTAGCGACCCAGAGAGGACTGCACTGCGACAGCCACACCAGAAGACCTCTGCCCTTGCCCCTGAATTTCTGAATCCCGGTCCCTACCCCTGAGAAGATGGAGAAGGCGAAGATTGTCCCGGAGACAGACCAAGTTCCCTTCCACCTCCAGGTCAGGGAAGGGGAGGAGGAGGCAGAAAGCAGATTGGCTGCCCCCATGCAAGTTCTTGGAGCCCCAAGCCCAGCAGTGATGGGGAAGGGGTCACCCAGGAATCAGATAAGAGATTAGAGTTCTAAACCTGACTGGGGAATTTCCACAAGGAAAGGAATCTGAAAGCTCTGAAGCCTGCCCAAGCTCTTGTGAAACTATGAGAAAGGGAGAGTTAACAGAACCTGGATCATTCTTTCATCCACCAACTGTACTTGCACCCACTATGTGGTGGACACTGCCAGGTGCAGAGGTCTCTACCCTCACCAAGGAGCAGGAGAGACAGATGATGAAAAATAAGCACACACTACAGGGCCACGGAAAGTGTTATGAAGGACTAGGAAGGGCACAGAGGGAGGCAGTCACCTCTCTGGAAGCGCAGGGGACGGAGACACTGAGCAAGGGCTTGAGTGAGGAGTTCTTGTGCCTGCGTGGAGAAGACCAATTTGGGTGGACATCTGTGTTTTCTCCGTGCTTCCCACTGGAGGTGGCTTAGCCCACCTGGTGGGATCTCTCTGAGTATGTCAAAGCTGGCTGATAATTTGAATCTCAATTAGATTCCCAAATCCAACCCTGAGATTTTATCCAGTTGTATGGGGAAAGGGGCCAGGAACCTTTCCCAACACTCTTCATCTGAGTCTGATCATCTAAAAATCTGAGGGTTGGGCATAGTGGCTCATGCCTATAATCCCAGCACTTTGGGAGGCCAAGGTGAGAGAGGATTGCCTGAGCCCACAGGTTTGAGACCAGCCTGGGCAGTGAGACCTCATCTCTAAAAAATAAATAAATAAATAAATAAGTAAATAAAAATAAAAGTCTGAAGAACACTGATTGACTTAATGATCACATCTGCTGCTCACCAAGCACGCTAGACTGAAGAGGGAGTTAGAAACATAGGTACACACACATGCACACACACACACACACACACACACACACACACACACACAAAGATAGAAACAGGTACTGAGGGCTCTCACTGTGTATCAGGTACCCTACTAAGCACTCTATCTGCTCTTTTTTAAAAAAATAATAAAACCCTTGCAAGAAAGCTGATGTGGGTACTATTATTCTACCCATTTTATAGGTGAGGAAACAGAGACTCACAAGTATTAAATAACCTGCTCGAGATCACAAGGTGACATGTGGTGCAGCCAGATTCTGACCTGGGCACGAAAGTGTGGCCCTGTCCTCCTCTGCCCTCAGGAGATGAGATAGACTCGCACTAAAAATGGAAGCAGTCACACAAGGCAATAAATTCCAGGTAACAAATGGAAGTGGACCATGTGCAACATAAGATTTCAGAGAAGAGAAAGAAGTCAGTGAAGTCTAGATGTTCAGTTGTGAGGACTGAGCTGTCTTTAGTGGGCATTGGAGCCCAGGAAAGCAGAAGCAAGCAGAAGATGACAGTTTGGATGCAGAACATGGAACACTTGTCCAGAAAGATGCAGAGACCAGAGAGCACATGGGCCCTGGTAGGGAGGCGGAGATAGTACTTGCTGCTTTGGCTACTTATAGCAAGATGTAAGGATCCTCATCCCAGGCTGGAGACAGACGAGTGGAGCCTGGAAACCAGAATTTGCCTGGAAACAAATGCCAAACACCTAGCAAACTAGAAGGGTCAATTTCAACATATATATATAAAATAGAAATTGGTTCTCGCTATATGTTGCCCAGGCTAGTCTCAAACTCCTGTCCTTAAGTGATCCTCCTGTCTCAGCATCCCAAAATGCTGGGATTACAGATGTGAGTCATTGCACCTGGCCCAACATATCTAAAGATAACAACTCAACACAAAACTAAAATAGTAAGAGTTCTCTACTGTTATCTTGTGGTGTCCCCATGACTAGCACTCAGGAACACATCTCCTCTGCCCTTCCCCCTTGGTAGGCGTGGTGTCCCCACTGACTAGCACTCAGGGACACATCTCCTCTGCCCTTCCCCCTTGGTAGCCCTCCATAGTTTGCAGGACGCTTGGATGTACTTTGCTTTATGTATACAGCGTTCATGAGATCTCAGCAGTCTTACAATAAACGCTTCCTTGCACTTCAGTTCATTTGAGTGGTTTCTGATACCTGCAACCCACATATCCCTGTCTAGAATGAAAATGATGGAAAAGGTTTCTAATACAGGCAAGCTGAGATGCAGGACTAGACCATGCAGGTTGAACTCTACCAGGAAGCTGGGGATTGAGAGACAGAACTTCAGTGATGCATTGGTTAAGATAACGCCAGCCGCAGTGGAAGATAAACCCTGGAAACCTCAGTTAGCTTAACGTAAGTTTAGTTCTTGTTTGCATACACCATAGTGTGTGACTGTGGCTGGTCAGGCGGCCTTCATCCAGGGAGCAGATCTCCTTCTTGTATAATCTTTGGAGTCCTCTGCAGTCAACCATGCATGGGCCGAGCCTGTGGGAAGCGCCATGCCCAAATGTGACAAAGATCCCCTTCACTCACTTGCCATTGGCAAGAACCAGTCATTAGTCATGGGATCCCACAAAAAAAACAAGGGATCTGATGCTATGGAAAGCATTATGGTCACTCTTCAAAAAGTTAAACAGAATTACCATCTGACAGCAATTTCATTCCTAGTTGTATACCCCAAAGAATTGAAAACAGGTGTTCAAAACAAATACAAGTACACAAATGTGTGTGTGTGTGTGTTTTTTTTTTTTTTTTTTTGACCAGGCTAAGTTGCTTTATTGGAGAAAGCCAGGATCACCAAGGACTTAGGAGTTGGCATTAGGGCCCTTCTTCTTGCTAAAGGTGGGCACAACATTGACGAAATGCCAGTTGTACTGCATTTTCCGCTTGGTCTGGCCAGTCTTCTTCTTCTTCTTCTCTTGTTTGGCCACCTTAGGAGTCTGACCTCTCACTTTCCCAGCACGGGCAAGGGAACCATGGACTTTGCCTCCGAGCATGAGGCCGGCCACTTCCAGGGTGGCCAGGGCCTCCACCCCACACTAGCCCAGGGTGGTCTCATCCTCCAGCGGTGAGCCCACTAGGAGCACAACCTGATCTTCTGGGGCGATGCCCTCCAGCTTGGCCACCTGAGCCTTGATCTGGGCGACCGTCTCCTGGTTGGTCACCTCGAGGGTGTGCAGCTCTTGGACGCAGACGAAGAGCTGCATGGTGGCGACTGAACCGCGGCCCTCACTGCCACTACGGTGAAGATGGAGTCGAGAAAGAGCTACACAAATGTTTATAGCATTATTCACAATAGCTCAAAGGTGAAAAGAGCCCAAATGTCCATTGATGGATTAATGGCTATACAAATTATAGTCTGTGCAATGGGATATTACTTAGCCATAAAAAGAATGAAGTATTGATATGCTACAACATGGATGCAGCTGGAAAACATTATGCTAGGTAAAAGAATTCAGACATGGCCAGGCACAGTGACTCAGGTCTGTAATCCCAGCACATTGGGAGGCTGAGGTAAGGGGATTGCCTGAGTCCATGGGTTTGAGAACAGCCTGGGCAACTTGGCGAGACCTCATCTCTACAATAAATCAGAAAACAAAAAGTTAGCTGGGTGTGGTAGCGTGTGCCTGTAGTTCTGGCTGCTTGAAAGGCTGAGGCAGAAGGATCCACAGAGCCCAGCAGGTCAACGCTGGGGTGGCCGTGAGGGTTCCGCTGCACTCCAGCCTGGGCAATGGAGTGAGACTCCAATTCAAAAAAAGAAAAAAGAAAAAAAGAATCTCTTTGATTGGAATCTTACAGATATGAAGACAGAGAGAGACTCAGAGGGACTAAGTGACTCACCTAAGTCACACAGCCAGTTTTGAGCAGGGGCAGGACTAGAACCCAGGCCTCCAAGTTTACAGCCCAGGGAGCTCTTTACCATTCAGTTCTAGAAGGGAGTGAGACACAGTCATTACCAAATGCAGCTTTTCTTTTGGTGCTTTTAATTAGCATATGTGATATACACTGCCAATCTAATTTAATTATAATTAGGTAACCAGAAGGCTGATTATATCATAAATTTAGATTAAAGAGCTGTTGTTTTCAATTAGGTTTGATTGTAAAGTGCTTTGACACTTTCCCCGGCCTCAGAGAAAGTTCATTATATAATTTCCCACTTATTCCCTTTCATTTTGACTGTAGCTCTGGAGTGGTAGTAACTGGACTAGTTAAAGTTCCCCGAGCACCCCAGTCTGGTGCAGATGTGAACCTGGGACATTTCCTGTTGATGGCAAGGGCTCCCAGATGCTGCTGGGCTGTTGTTTCAGGTGCTTTCAACTGCATGCAGTGAGAGATCCAACCGAAAATGGCTCAAGAGGACTTAGTGCCTCACATAAAAAGAAGTATGGGCGTAAGGTAGCTCCCAGGTTGGTTAATTTGCTTTCAAAATGTCCTTAAAGACCCAGACTCATTCCATATTCCTGCTCTGCCAACTTCAGCATGTTGTCTTCCATCCTTAGTCCCTACCTGGTTGTCTAATGGTTGTTGTAACCCCAAGCTTTCCCATCCCCATAGAAGAGAACATTCCTTCCTTGTATCCTTTCAGCCTCTAAGAGATGTCTTCTCATGACACTAGCTGGGACTGCAGCATAGACCTGTTCTTGAGTCAAACACTGTTCCTGAGGAATCACCATGATTGACTTGGGCAAATCAGGCTTCATCTTGTAAGGTCTTTCCTGAAGACCATTGTTTTCTCATGCCTGCTAGCAAATTCATAAATGGTATAGGGGCAGGGAGTGACTGTTTGCTAGGCTATCAACCAGCCATATCTAGAATCAGTGTGACCACAACCTCAGAAGGTCTGGCTGAGCCCAGACTGAATCTGCAATATGACAACCAAAGAAATCCAGATGCAAATAATTGCTTCTTGAGTCCTTATCAGATATCTGCCATCTTTGTATTCCTGAGGGCTAAGTTTTAGTGTCATTTGTAGGTGTTGTTGGCAATATAAGGCACAGTTAGGTGGGGGAAAAAAGACAGAAAAAAGAGGGGAAAGAAGGGTCCTTCCAGAAGATGATGGAGGAGGCAAGCTGACAGGAAGAAGAGAGAAGTGAATGTGGCTGCAGAAGTGATGTCATCCCCCTTGTCTCTGGGGAGGATTGAGAGATCTACCTCTTGAAAGAGGGTACCAGAAAAAGGGGACAGGCCCTCAGCGCCTCAGGTGACACTCCCAACAGTCCTCAGAGGTATTATCTGTCTGACCTACTGTTCTTTTGTCCCTGGCTGCCTCTCAAGGTGACCATCCTCTTGCTAGCCAGCCACCCTCACTTTTCCAGGGCATGTGTTGCCCCAGCCAGTTCTGCTTTCATTCCAGCTCCTCTTACTTCTGACCTTGGGAATTGCCTTACACTCTCTTAGCTTTAGCTTCCTTATCTGTAAACTCTCTACCTCACAGAGTTCTCATGAAGATTAAATAAAATAATCCATAGAAAGTGCTTAACACAGTATTTGGCACGTAGTTAACAGGCAATGAATATTTACCCCATTACCTTATTATCACTGTTAGTAGTAGCCTTAATATTACACACTAATAGTTATGCACTGCTTAACAATGTTTCAGTCAACGACAGACCACATGTATGACAGTGGTCTCATAGATTACAATAGAGCAGAAAAATTCCTATTGTCTAATGACAGTTTAATGATACTGGCCCTGTGTATGCCTAGGTTAATGGGGGTTTGTCTTAGTTTTTTTTGAGTCTCACTCTGTTGCCCGGCTGGAGGACAGTGGCATACTTGCAGCCATTCCAACGTCAACCTGCTGGGTTCCAGGGGTCCTTCTGCCTCAGTCTTCCTAGTAGCCCGAACTACAGGTGCACAGTACCATGCCTGGCTAATTTTTGATTAGAGATGAGGTCTCGCCAAGTTGCCTGGGCTGGTCTCGAACCTGCGGATTCAGGCAATCCACTCACTTCAGCCTCCCAAAGTGCTGGGATTACAAGTTGAGCCACCAAGCCTGGCCGGTTTGTCTTTTTTTTTTTTT